TATAGTTAAAGTGTATATCGGCTGTGTTGTAGGTGTAGCTCAGCATATTGGAGAAATAACTGTTTACTTCTCCATTTGTTCTTTGAATTGCTCTTGGTACAACTGTAGTTTTGTCTGGTTTGATTTCTTATTCAATCAGTGTATAATTATTCTTTTTATCTCAGTGAATTGTAGAATGCTTTGTATCATACAAGGAAATAAAATACTTCTGAAAATTTGATTATAAAGACTTTTTCTTCACATATTCGATACACGATCAGAACTTCATCTAGACTTGAGTCTTGCGCAAGGGAGAAGCTGCATTACGTCCAGTATGGGCATCTAGACTTTTGGGCAACAAGTATTTGTGGGTGATCCCAGTGAAGGATTAGTGCATGAGCAGCTGGAATCACACCAGAAAACCCCATGGAAAGAAAGAGGGCTGCCCTGAAACCCCTGAAACGACCACTGGAGAGAGCCGGTGCAAGGAGGGTGATAACAACAAGAATTCCTACTAATGTGATTTAGCTTAGGAACACTAGGCGCCAATGTGGGTGATTTGAGAACGTATAGTATATTGGCGCGAAGAATGAGCAGGCGATCATGAGAGATATTCCAGCATAATTGAGGCTCCAAAAGAACAAGCTGAAATGTTGGGAGTGGCAGGCGAAGAGATGGGAGATTGAGCTAAAGACGAAACAATTCATTGCTCCTCCTAAGAAAACAAACCTAGGCCATGTAGGAAGTGAATCGGAGTCTGCATTTGCATATAAGATTGATGCCTTATGGATATGTCCTACGTAAGATTTCTGCACATCAAATATGTATCAAGTTAAAGACATTATATATTGGTCTTCGACTTAGCAAACTGAAGAATACTGGATGAGACTCGACAAGTCTAATCTAGTCTAGCCCAACTTATCAACAATAAGTATCAATATTCTACACCTGCAGACACCTCATTGTATTAGAAATTACACAAGCCACATTGCCATGTATAGTTTGATATAAAATTACTAACTTTAACGTTAGTACATTGTATATTATTACCAGATACAGCATTAAAGTTGTTGACATCAAAATTTGCAAGAGTTAATCTTGAGCCAACTTTAAGAAAAAGGGCGATCTATCTCATACTATGGTGATCTTGAGAAGGCTTAATTGTATGGTATACTTGTATAAAGGCCCCCCTACAAAATCGTTTCTCTACTATTTATACATAATTACAGTCGAAATTACATCAAATCAATCAAATCGAGAATAGGACCAAGCTCGAAAGTCGGGTCGAGAATTTCTCTTGTGATTGGTTGATCAGGACGATGGTCACGTGTCAATATTTTCCTCAGACAATGATGACCTGCAAATGATTCGAAGGCTTGAGGCCTCAGATTGGTGGTTTTGGGAGGTGATGACATCATCTTTTACAAGTGTATATAATTGAGAGGATGAGGTAACAGGAAGTAATCATGATGTCTTCTTGAGATGACGGGGGCGAAAACCCGAGCTGAGCTTTTGTGACCGAGCTCACACTTGTTGGGGTAGGGCCTGCGAATGACAATTCCATGAGACTGGAGCTCGGTGGTCAACAAAAGTCAACTCCCAGTAAAAAAATCCTTGTAATCTGACAGTCGTCACGGACCACAATCCAACTGTCGCTCCCTTTCCCTCTCCAACAGTCCATTATTGTAATTTGTACATCTCGCTCTCATCTTGACACTCTAACTACATCCTCACTCCTCAGCTCCACCAAGGCGCCAACCGGCCGAAGCCAGATTCCATTTCTTGTTTATCATTAAATCCATGACCAGAACCTCGGCATTCGGTGTCGAAAATTTTTTGCCCACGCCGAACTAAAATCCTGGCTCCGCCCTAGTCTTGAGAGTATACTATGATAAAGTTTAACTACATTTTCATGAATCACATTTGTCTTGGGGCATTGGATTCTTGTAAATGATGCTTCTTATATAAGTTAAAAGACAATATAGTAATTGTGCCAATTAATAACTTTATCAAGAACAAGAATTTTACTGCAAGTGACTGGACAAAAGCAAAAAAAACTAAAAAACTAACCATTTGTAGATCAACATTTAATCCTATGAGTTAATGCACTGAATCTCCCTTTTGCTCCTCACCAGACATTGTTTCTTAGTGTTAAAGTCTGAGTTTATTGAGGCCCTCTAAAAGTTCGAGGTTACAGTACAAGAACTTCTCTTTCTCCTTTGTCGGCACTGTTGGTGTTTCTTCACTACAATTTCCTTTCTCACTAGACAAAAATTGCAGGATTTCAATCCTTCCATGCTTAGCCTTAGAGATATTTTTTGTGCAATCTCTCTGCCTCTTGTAACCCAGAAAGTGTGCCATTGAACTTTGCCAACATTGCATTCTGATTTGCAAGTTTCCTAATCCAGACCTTACTCAGGTTCCCAAATCCCATGTCTACAGGAAAAATAAAATTTCATTAAGTAGAGAATGAGAAAGCACACTAAGAAATTGAATCGTAAGCAATGAAAAATAGGGCTGAGATACGGTGCAGGAAAAGGTTAATTTCTTACATTGAGAGATGGCATAATATAGCCATTGTACAAAATCTTTATAGAAGGAAAAATAACCTATATTTGGAAACTAAATAAATTAATCCTAGTGTGATATATACAACCAGGAATGGAAAATACAATCAAGTCTAAGAATGGAAAAATATAATCAAGGCTTGGAGACAATTTCGTTAATTCTCAACACTCCCCCTTAAGTTGGTGCATAGATATCACATATGCCCAACTTGTCTAGAATATTATTAAATGCTTGGCTTGGTAATGCTTTAGTAAGAACATCTGCAAGCTGATCTTGTGATCGGACATGGGGCACTTCAATAATCTTTGCCTCTAGTTTTTCCTTGATAAAGTGTCGATCAACTTCAACATGTTTGGTTCGATCATGTTGGACCGAATTGTGAGCAATATATCATGCTGCCTTGTTATCATAGTATAACTTCATAGGGCGAATTTGCTCAATACATAAATCTTGCATCTAGTTTCTTATCCACAGTAACTCACATATTGCTTTTGCCATTCCTCTGTATTCGGACTCTGCACTAGATAAGGCAACAACATTTTGTTTCTTGCTACGCTAAGTAACTAGGTTTCCACCTACGAATGTGAAATACCCAGATGTAGAGTGTCTTTTTTCAATTGACCCGGCCCAGTCTGCATCGTTGTATCCTTCAATATCCAAGTTACCTCCTTTGGTAAACATAATACCCTTCCCAGGAGATGACTTCAAGTAGCGCAAGATACGAATTACTGCATTCATATGCTCTTCACTTGGAGAGTACATAAATTGACTGACAACACTTAATGAGTAAGCCAAGTCAGGACGGGTATGTGATAGATACATTAACCTCCCAACTAATCTCTGATAGCGTTCCTTATTGGTAGGAATTTGATTTGGATATATTCCTAGTTTCAAATTCTCTTCCATAGGCGTGTAAATTGGGCTGCATGTTGTCATACCGGTTTCCTTCAACAAATCTAAGGTATATTTTTGTTGGGTTAGGAAAATACCTTTCTTTAATTTGGACACTGCAATCCCAAGAAAATATTTCAGTTGACCGAGATCTTTCATTTCAAACTCACGAGAAAGGTAGCTCTGTAGTGCTTTCTTTTCCTCTGAGTTATTTCCTGTTATTATCATATCATCAACATACACGATTAGAGCAGTGGCCTTCCTTTTATTATGTTTCAAGAATAAAGTATGATCAGAATTGCTTTGTTTGTATCCAAAAGCCTTCATAGCTCCTGTTAATCTTCCAAACCATGCTCTATGGGACTGCTTCAAGCCATATAAGGCTTTTTTTAGTTTACATACTGGTCTGCAAGCTTTAGTTTGTATATTACATCCAGGGGACAACTCCATATATACTTCTTCCTGTAGTTCTCCAAGCAGAAAAGCATTTTTTTACATCAAATTGGTGCAGGGGCCAATCTAGATTCGTAGTAAAGAAAAGAAAGATGCTGACTGTGTTATTAATCTTCCAAACCATGCTCTATGGGACTGCTTCAAGCCATATAAGGCTTTTTTTAGTTTACATACTGGTCTGCAAGCTTTAGTTTGTATATTACATCCAGGGGACAACTCCATATATACTTCTTCCTGTAGTTCTCCAAGCAGAAAAGCATTTTTTTACATCAAATTGGTGCAGGGGCCAATCTAGATTCGTAGTAAAGAAAAGAAAGATGCTGACTGTGTTGATCTTGGCTACTGGTGCAAATGTCTCCATATAGTCAATTCCATATGTTTGTGTGTATCCTTTGGCAACAAGTCTTGCTTTGAAACGTTCAACTGTGCCATCTGCTTTATGTTTAATGGTGAAGACCCATCAGCATCCAACTGGCCTTTTTCCATTAGGTGAGTCAACAACTTCCCATGTTGAGTTCTTTTGGAGAGACCTCATTTTTTCATTCATTGCTTTCTTCCATCTAAGATCGTTTAATGCCTCCTGCATACTATTAGGAATAGATACAGCAGATAATTGATTTACAAAGGATTCATTTTCCTTTGACAACCTATGGTAAGACACAGAATTACTGATAGGGTATTTAGCTTTAGAATTAAGGATGGGTTCGTAATTAACCTTCGGTTTACCTCTTGTGGCTCTATCAGGTAGTATTTTTAGGGTAAAATGCAGGAGTGGGTTCAGAAATTACCTGAGTTTCGATGAGAGGATCAATCTGAGAAGACAATTGCTTAATAGGTACATGAGAGATTGATCGAGGTGAAGATGGTTCCAAATTTGCATGATTATATGTATCACCACTACCACTTATATCCAATGTGTCCGAAGAAGTGGCCTCTGTTGGACTTTTATCACTTGGAATTGAGATGATATCACCACTTACATCCAATGTGTCCAAAGAGTCAATTAGAGGCTGCAGTTCAACGCGATTCTCCCCCTGAAGTGGAGTCGTAGGGGCTGAATAATACATATCCTCTTCATTAAATACAACATCAAGCATAACATATAATTTTTAAGAAGGAGGACGATAACATCGATACCCTTTCTGGTGTGAGGCATAGCCAATAAAGACACAACGGATATCACGGGGTTCCAATTTATTTCTCAAAGATTGGGGCAAATGCACATAAGCAACGCAACCAAAGATTCGAGGGTACAGATTTGACACGATTGGAGCACGTATAGCTGTATGAAGGACATGAAATGGGGTTTGAAACTGGAGAGAGCTAGAGGGTACCAGATTAATGAGATAAGCAGCAGCGGTAGCAGCCTTACCCCAATACTGAACTGGCATATGGGCTCCAAACAAGGAAGCACGGACAACTTCTAGGAGGTGACGATTTTTGCGCTCCGCTACTCCATTTTGTTGAGGGGTATAGGGTCATGTAGTATGATGGACAATACCATTGGAATCCAAAAACTGCTTCAAGTCATTATTAACAAATTCGTCACCATTGTCAGTACGAAGAACTTGAATATATGACTTATGTTGTGTAATTATCATCTGGTGAAATTTTTGAAATAAGAAACTAACTTCATTCTTTTTTTTCATCAGGTAAGTCCAAGTCATACGAGTATGATCGTTAATGAACGAAACAAACCAACGGGCACCACTTAGAAAAGTGGTGTTGGCGGGACCCCATACATCAGAATGAATTACCATAAAAGGAGCTGGACTTTTATTCATGCTTCGTGGAAATGAAACACGATGGCTTTTAGCCAACTCACAAATATCACACTTAAAATCCGAAACATTCAAGTTTACAAATAGCTGTGGAAATAACTTATGTAAATATCCAAAAGATGCATGACCTAACAGCCTATGCCAGAGCTAGATTTCAGAACTTTTGAAGTGTATTACATGAATTAGGTGAATGAGCTTGGGCCACCAGATTCGAGCTTTGTGGTATTAAATCCAGGTAGTAGAGCTTTCCTTTCCTAGTACCATAACCAATTGTCTTCTGAGTCTGGATATCCTTGAAAACACAGAGATGATGACCAAAAATCACAATACAATTTAAAGCAGTAGTTATTTGAGCAACAGACAACAAGTTATGTTTAAGAGAGGGAACAACTAAAACATAGTGTAAATTCAAATTGGGAGTTAAAATGATGGAGCTTTCGCCAATTACAGGGGCGGAGGCACCATTAGTGGTGGCCACGATAGGTTGGGTCGAGGGTTTAAGAGATTGAAGGCCACTAATATCAAAGGTCATGTGATCCGTTGCACCCAAATCAATTATCCATGTATTATTACCACTAGTAGTAGAGGTATTAAAGACCTTACCAGCATTACCTGTAGCAACAACCAAGGAGGTGGCTTTGGCAAGTTCAGGTGCAGCAGCAGACACATGGGAATTGGACTTAGCTACAGCTGCATGTGATTTAGAATTCTGCCTACGAAGAGCTTTGGTAGGATCCCACTACTCCGGATAGTCGATTAGTTCATAGCAGCGAGACTTGGTGTGCCCAGTTTCACCACAATGAGTGCAAAGGCACTCCTAGGATCCAGCATTACGAATTTGAGGTCCAGAATTGCGGTGTTTGGTCTAATGCACTTTAGGGCCATGAGCTACCATGGCAAAGGGTTCAGAGAAGACAGTTTCACCAAGAATGGTCTGGCGATGTGCAGCCGCATGATGAACACAGGCATAAGTTTCTTCTAAATCAAGAGCAGGGTCCTTGCGGAGTATTTCGCCACGAAGTGACTCAAATTTAGCATCTAATCCGTTCAGGAAAATATGGACACGAAGCCTTTTAATAGATTTCTTATACATAATAACATCATCTGAGTCTTTCATGACAATTTTATCACGATGTCCAATTCTTGGAAGATTTCTATCAACTCACCATAATAAGTAGTTACGGGGCGACCAACCTGTTTAGTAGAGAAGGCACGCTGGTTCAAGGAAAAATTTTGAGATTCATCCGAGCCATCATAGAAGACTTTGGCAAGGGCAGTCCAGATTTCCCGCGCTGTTCGCAAGCGAAGGTAACGTTTCATAATTTCAGGTGACATAGATGCAAGTAACCAGCCCTTAACTTTTTGATTCTCAACATACCACTTGCTATAGTTAGGATCAGTAGGTTCTGGGACTGGTGCCTTTCCCATAATGTAGTCGAGCTTCTCACGTCTAGCAATCTGCATCTCCAAAACTTGAGACCATACGTCATAATTTGTTTCGGTAAGGACAACTCCAGCAGTAAAACCAGAATTTTCGGATTGGACATGGATAACAGGGGTGATGGATGAAGAGATTCCTTTCTGGATCGAACTTTCTGGAGTGTTAGTTTCGGGAATATGTGTTTCAGCCATGGAGAGACGGATAATGCAAGGGGAACAACTCTTATACCAAGTGAAAAATAGGGCTGAGATACGATGCAGGAAAGGTTAATTTCTTACATTGAGAGATGGCATAATATAGCCATTGTACAAAATCTTTACAGAAGGAAAAATAACCTATATTTGGAAACTAATTAAATAAATCAATCCTGGTGTGATATATACAATCGGGAATGGAAAATACAATCAAGTCTAAGAATGGAAAAATATAATCAAAGCTTGGAGACAATTTCGTTAATTCTCAACATAAGCCAGTTGGAATAAAGTTATTATGTAAAAACAGAATATCAAAAGCAACAAAGCTTTCTCCAGTTGAACAATCTCACAATTTAGTAGTGTTCGGCAACACCACCTCCCACTTTTTTGAATTAAGTTTTCCAATGGTCATTGAACTTAAGTCCATTTCTTTGATTGGTCACTCAAGTTTAACATGTCGAGTTTTGATCACTGAATTTAAGTTCATGTATTTGATTGATTACTGAAATTTAAAATATCGAGTTTTGGTTATTGAACTTTGAAAAATGTATATTACTCACTGTAAACTCAACATTTTTCAATATTTAACATTTATGCTAGTGAGTAAAGTACAATATTTTCCAATTTTCATTGAGAGTGACCAATCAAAGATATGGACCTAAATTCAATGACCATTAAGACAATTAACCCCATTTTTTTCGTTTAACGAAAAAATGAAGGTTCACAACTGATGAAGAGAAAGGACAACAATAAGTTTAAGTAGACATTATTGGTCTTAAACCCCATTTGGCCCCTTTATTATTATTATTATTTGAAGAATGTGTGATAAAACAAAGAAGAAAAAAATTTGAAATTACGTGTAATATTATTTTATTAAAGAATATGTAGATAATAAGATAAGAAAGAGAAATGAATTATAATTTTAATGGGTCAAACTAGGGCTAGGTGTGTTAGGAAGGGCTTTTTCAAAGCCTAAAACCACTTTATAATATCAAAAGCTCTTTTGTTTGAAGGACGAAGCTAAAGCAATAGAGGCGGTGACATAGGATTTGACCGAATACACACATATACAGGAGGTCGGCATTTTTTTATTCAAATGGAACCTGCGGCAATGTAAGAGGATGTCACCCCATCGGTCAAGCGTTTTCGGGTATGTACGACGAATTTTGTATATTAAAATACATAAATTGTTATAAATTGTATTTTTGAAAAATACAAGTGATGTTAATCTTCTTATAATTGCAAAATTGCAAAAATAATTCGACTAATGATCTAAATATTTGAAGATGATGGAGCATGTGGCTTGAATCCTGGTCTTCGAGAATTTGTTGAAAATTTCATTTGTTGAGACTTGATTTGTTCGGTATTTGAACTTCGGGGCTTAAACTTGAACTTGAATTTGATTTGATTTAAAGAAGACTTTAATCTTCTTGGACTTGGTTTGAACCCGTTTGATTCAAAGAAGATTTTAATCTTCTTGGGGTTCGTCGGATTTAGGTTTGAGAGAATTCTTCCCTTCCTTCGGCCTTTGAAAAAAAAAAAAAAAAAGGCTCCGACCAAGCTTTTACATGAAGGTAATTTACATTTAATAAAGATTTAAAATTAATAAAATACCCATTAATACATATTAAAAAAAGATACCGCTATTTCCATCCACACTTTTTATAAGTACATCCACTTTTAAAAATAAAAGTTTACTATATTTTAAATTATATATAAATTTACTTAAATAGACATAAATAATAATGAACAGCCTGGGTAATATAGGCGAGCATTCCTCCTAAAATACTTTTTGACAAGTGAATTTGACAAATAATCTCAACCCTAAATTTAAATCAATTTAAAGGTCTAGATTCATTTTCTTGAAATCTTCTAAAAATTAAAAGTTGGCACTCCCCATCCCCCATCTAAATTTGCCAAATGGGCCTCACTGTAGATTAGTTCCTCCTCCTCCTCCGCCACCCCTCCTTGTCACTCTTGTCATGTTCCATTTGATCTCACGACTTATTCAATCAATTCACCTCTTCGAATCACTTAAACACCAGCGAGAGCTCTTCCAATATTCATAATTCATTGATCCATAATAGAAGTGGTAATACTAACGAAATATTATTTGGGATTGTGAGATCTAAATTGGATAATTGTTGCAAAAATTTGGAGTTCCCATAATTAATTCGAGGAGTTCATGGACATTCCAAGGAATGGGGAGTTTGACGAGGGTCTGGAGAGTAATAAGCCGAATACTAGTGGGGGTGTGTATGATTAAAAAAATCTTGATAATGGAAAAGAGTTTTTGGTGACACTAGTAAATTATTGCTCTCAGATGTTGCAGCCCTGGCTTGCAGTTAGATTATTTCAGGTACTCTATAGTTCAACAAAGTTTGTCATATTATAGCTACATGTGATATTATTGGACATGAATCCAATACACAAAAGAAAATGATTGTCAACATGTTAGCCATTCACTATGTTTCTTTTGTTTATATTAATTTATAGACATTAACAACCCATGTTCGACCAAAAAAACCCGAAAAAAAGGTTATGTTAAAGCATTTGATTCTTTGGATTGATCAGGGATTGAAGTCATATTGCTGCCACTTAACTTCTTCCGTGCCCATTTCTGATATATGCGAATTGTGTATTTGTAAAGTTTAGATGATGGTAGGCACAATTTATCACGAGAATTAATAAGTAAAAGTTGTTTATATTTTGATATTGGGCACCTACAATGAATATATAAAATTAGTATTTAAATGAATGGATTTAATAAGGGCAAGATTGGAAATGACATGGATGTAAATAGTATTTTTTTAAAATTTTATTAGTGATGAACTTAAAACGTGATGTACTTATAAAAAGAGTGAATGGAAATAACGATACCCCTAAAAAATTTTGACTTCTAACCCAATTATTTAAATGCAAAGTTCATATAAAATTGCTTTCATGGTTATCAGCGAAACAATCAATTAATATTCACAACACATTTAGGATTTACAAGCAAATGGTCAACAACTTTTTAATAAAAGCTCTATTCACAACAATTGTTCCACCACTGGGCTCAAAATTAAAAATAAAAAGTTATTGACATATTTCTATTCCCATGTGTATCATAAAAAGGGAAGATTTTATATATAAGATATTCATTTTGAAACTAAGAAACAATGTTTGAAACTCCAAAAATCAGATATTAATTATATTGTATTTATGAAATAATTAATTAAAAATATTTTTTATTAATTAAATTTATTAAGATCACAATTCTATAAAATTTGGTCACAATTATTGAATTAATTGATCACAAATCAAAAATTTTATAAGTTACAAATTATTTTTGCATCACGTTTCAAAAAATTTATAGGTCATAAATTCTTCTCAGTCACAGTTCAAAAATTTTATAAGTTACAATTTATTTATCGTTCACAAAATTACAAATTTTATAAGTCACAACTTATTTAACGATCGCAAATCATCAAATTAATTGATCACAAGTAATTTCCCAATCACAATTTAATAAATTGTGAGTCACAATTATATTTTTTTACGTCACATTATTTATCATTCACAAATTAATAAATTTATTGATCACAATCAACTAAATAATTGGTTACAAACCCTGCATCCCATCCATGGGGAAATACATGAAAACGACCCAAATAGAAAGGTCATTTTTCCAAAATAATCTTTGGCTAATTTTGATACCCAAAATATCGCCCTTTAATTACATAATAAGTTAATGAAAAATATAAATTTTTCA